TACGCTGCCTGGCCTGTCTCGTTTGCGGCTGATTGCACCTAGAGGAAGAGGAAGGAGAGCAAATTTAGAGGAACTATGTCTGCCCCCCCCCCCCCCCTCCTTCGCCGTCATTGGGGCTTTACGACGCACTTACCTGCTGGGTCTATATGGTTCCGCCTACGTCTCGCCCTGTCAGAAAGGACTGCACCGCGGGGACGTCCCCCGGAAATCGAGACTTCATCACATCAAAAATATTTAAAGGACGATTGTTCAAAGATGCAATAGCATTGCATTAAGACATAACTGTCATAGCAGTATTCATCAAAATTGTCGCGCTAATTGTGATTCTGGGAGCACGGTATGGGTAAAGTAAATGTGATATATTGGCGCTCTCATTCAATGCACTTACACACAAAAAGATTCAAGGTTACAATGAACAGCAAAACATGCACACAATTTCAGGACTCATCTGTATACGTTTTAAAGCTTCTGAAAAGCATAACATAACAAAACGCATGACAAAAGCATAACAGGGGAAATGGTGTTGGCACGTGGTGGTCATTGACGAAGAGCGTATAAAAAAGCATTCGCACCTCAAGGAAGTTAAATGATTTCAAGGAGATTGTATTGTAGCATGTGCACTATAATTTAATACCGTCAATATAAGTTTTAACTTTTCGTTTAAAAAAATTATCACATTCACAGGCTGCAGGCACGTGATGATCGACCGGATACACGACCGGCCCCACCGCATCGACGCAGCGGCCGGTCGTAAGAGTACCAGAGCACCCTCGGCCTTACGCGAGGCGTAGTGACCGCGGACCCCACCCAAAACTTCGTGGCGGTCCCCGCTGTGGAAGCCTATGTGCAGTAATTGATGCAAGAATAAAGGCCTTCAGCGCCTCAAATTAGTCCTGAAGATCAGAATCCTCGCGTATTTGTTCATAAAACTACGATTTCCTGGTTGGAAACAAGATCATGCTTGCACGGGTAGTTATAACACCGAATCCCTTTCCACTAAATATTTTCAAGTCCTTAAAAAACAAAACTTAGCGGCACGTCCACTAACGCACAAGTGGGGAAATACACTCCTGCATCCCGGCCGTGTCCCTCTTTATAGGCATTTACAAAGCTTACATGCCTAAACAAGGCTCACGATAAATCATCCCTGAATTAAATGATCCTTAAGTGTCCACCTTGCTTAACAGGACAATGACGACAGCAATAATGGCACGGCAGCCCTTATCCAATCCCCCGACCGATCCACACCATTGAATGACACGCCTGCCATTATCAAATAATTTGGACAAACTGAAGGAATTAATTGAAGAAGAAAATATCTATAAGAGTCTCGTTTCATGTAATAAACCTATTGAGTTCGATAAACGTGACTTTGTTTACTGAGCGTTAGTGAAGCTGCATGTAGGTAATAATTCCCTGGTCAAAGTGTCAGTATATGCCACTCCTTCATGAATACATTTTCAAAGCTTTTAAACACCTTTCAGTGCATTAACCCATGGTGAGAACGGCTAATGTGTCTTTTAAAAACGCACTGTCTAATGAATGAGCGTACGACATGACGGCCTCATGCGGGTCAGATGCAGGCCGGTCGGGATAGGTCGGGTCAAACGTAAGCCGGCCATAATAGGTCGGGTCCGATGCAAGCCGGCCGGGATAGGTCGGGCTAGATGTGGGCCGACCAGAATAGGTCGGTTCAGATGCAAGCCGGCCAGGATAGGTCAGGTCAGATTAAGCCGGCCAGGATAGGTCGTGTCTGGCCGTACTGGAATTCGGGGAACCGTTCCGTCTAAACGTAAAGCACAATGCTCTTAAGCACGACTGGTTTCGAACCCCCCAAAAAAAACTGAAACGGGCCGCGCCAGACGAAGTTTCGATGCGACTAGAGACTAGAAGTCGGGTCTCAAAACAAGTCAGGTTGTGGCGGTAGATACTCACAGATGAGGCGAACCTAGCGCTTGCCAACTAGTCATGCCGAGATACAAAAATGTTGTATAACCGCTCCCTTCCTCGTTTTGCCGTCATATCTCATCCCCTCTCATCAAATGATTTTCATGCCACTTGTCTGTCACTTCTAACTGGAAGCTTAAGAAAATTTTGATGACCTGATAAGTGGCGACAAGTGAAATCTCGGCGATTCGATTTCATGGTGAATCAGTCTCCAAATATATGTAGATGCGTCCCACATGTGAGTTACCGCGAAGAGTTCATCGGCCATAGCGCCTTTCAGGGAATACATCCCCTATCCTGTGGCCTGCGTATTCGTTCCTGAGATTCATTTACATTAAGAGCGTCCTATCACATTTGCACCATTTTCAATGTTATCGCGCTATCGTAGATCGCGCCTTTTACCGATTTTTTATTGAGTTTGCAGGCGTTAGTGTGGTGCCGCGTCCATTATCGCCATTGTTCTTTCCTCGAGCTGGTGCATTGAATTCAATAGTCGTTCATCATCCGTTGTAAAGCGACAGGGATCCAAGATCAAGGTACATGTACGCGCATTATTTCGCGGGCAGCTGCATTAATAACTCCTAGTGCACGAGCGCGTAGCCGTTTCAGGTTCCACTTCTTAGTGCATGTTACGGGTCAGAAGATGGTCCGCGCACAAAGGAAAAATGAGCTCAGTTTACAATAGACCGTCGCGAAACAGAAGCATGCCATGGACCGCATCAAGACTAAGTGCAGGCGCCGGGTAGCTTGACAGAGAAAAGGATCGCAAAACAGCGTCGGTTGCGAACGGTCGCACCCGTCCGCCCCGGAAGCGACCCGCCCGGCGACACCCTCCGCTACTCCGGTCCGCTATCCTCGTCAGCATCAGTCAGCGGAGGGAGTCGGCCGCGCAACAACAGCGCACAAAGCATCAGCCGAACCAAATGCGTGAAGGATGAGTAGCGGACTGGTGGGTTCAAAAGATCTTTTCGTGGAATGAATTTGAATGATTGCTCTGCTGGGATGACCCTGAAATTATTTACATCAGACAGTGTGAAACGAATTTGCATAAACACTTGCTGAATAAAGTATGTCTTCTGGGAAATGCCACGCTGCACGACAGAGCAAGGACATAAGCTCGGCTTCTGGAAGCCAATATTAATGTCTGTCATATTCTACCAACTGACTATAACGATGATGAATGGTCAGTATGCGCAGACAAGGTGTTCATGAATACACAAAAGCTTGATGCGTTCGTTTTAAGATACTACCGGGAACGGTGGCCAGCAATATAATTTTCTATGATAGCTAGTGTTAATTCCTAAACACTCTTCGTCCCCTTTGCCATTCGTTGTATCTGGATGGCTATAAGGCGCCCGAGCACTTCAGCGTCTCAATAAAGAATGCAAGAAACCACAACCACAAGCATGAAATAACTTAACATAGATCAAGGATGCATTGTTTGGCCCAACTGAAATGGGAAGGTCAGCTGGCAACTGGCAAACGAGGGTCAAGCCAGGCCTGGGGCGGGCGTGTCGCAGTATTGTGCGATACGTAAAACCCTCCGCAGTCCTGTCTGGCGCAAGGGCGGAGACAAAATCAGCTGTTAAACAGCACGGCACAACTTGGGTGGTGGGTCCAGGCGACACGCAACAAACTATGCTTAGCAGGTACTCTGAGTCCAAAGTCATTCATGCCAACCATCCAGAACAAATGTATTCCAAAAATATAATAAAAAGAACAAGCTGTCAGTGCAACGCCATAACAAAACTCCCACACTATATAGGCTTAATGGCCGTACACACTTGTTTCACCAAAATATCGACCCCACATCGCGCATGCATATCTTGGATTCATTAGTCACGTTTATAGCACATACGGGCTTAAAGGCGATGATTCCCACTGAATACCGCAAGCCTAACAAACGTATTCCACCGTATTGTTAATGCCCCCACCCACCTCACCCCACCCCAAACTGCCGCAAATAACCCTGCACTCCAACACATTACGTGAAGCAGTCAGCCTCTAAAACATCGCCCCTTTGCCTGTCAGCAAGCCTTCTCATTCCTCCGCAAAAAGTGAAAGTCATTGACCCGGGCTGGCTGGCTGGCGGGCGACCGGGCTCGCCGCGTGCGCGGGAGGCCGGCATCAGCGGCGGCCGGCCTGGCCGCGCCGTAACGGTAGTTGAGATACCGACGTGCCGGAGTCGGTCACACGGGACACTATCGCAGCAGCCGACGGACGTGGCCTGGCCGCGCGCGCGCCACCAACCAGCAGGCCCAGGTCAGTCCGGCGGAGGCACGGAGACGGCGGGGTTTAGGGGGCTCGAACCTAACTCTCGTGAAGTGCGGGGAGGTGGGGACGGCAGGGACGGCGGGGTGCTGGGAGGCGCGGGTCTCCCTCACGTGTAGTGCGGCGAGGTGGAGGTGGCAGGGACGGCGGGGTTCTAGGAGACGCGGGTCTCCCTCCCGTGTAGTGCGGGTAGGTGGGACGGCAGGGACGGCAGGGTTCTGGGAGGCGCGGGTCTCTCTCTCGCGTGGTGCGGCGAGGTGGGGACGGCATCGCTGTGTAGCGGGGTGTGGGGGCTCAGGCTCATGTGACGCAGGTAATGCTGGGAGGTTTGTGTCAGAACTATCAGGTTGTGTCAGGTCTATTGCTATGGAGGTTTGTGTCAGAACCAGTTTGTGTCAGACCATTGTACCTCAGATTTTGAAGGCTGAACCATGTCCTCATTGATATCAAAGGGACGCTGCATGGGTTCTGTGCCCTTGTTTTAAGCCTGGCCTGACGTCAAACATAATTTAGTCACCAAGCAGAGACCGAGTATAAATCGACAATTCCCTGCTGCTGACCAGTTCGTAGCGGCTTAGGACACGCAGATCATCCCTTGGTCGACCCGCACCCCACAGGCCCGCGGGCCGTTTGATTCCAGTGTCTCAAGGTACGCTTGCGGAAATCATTGCGTTGTGGCCCTTTTTGTCGCCGATTGATTGTCTAGCATTGGCTTAGATCAATGGAACTGGTGAACTCCTTCAGGCGTACAAGAGCTCAGCCAGAGCGAGGTGGGAACCTTCCGGAGAATCGGTCGCCGCTGCGCCGTTCTGAACACGGCTGCGCACTTCTGAGGCCGTGCGTTCTGACCGCGTCCGTCGGAGCAGCTCGTGCCGAGCCGGCACACCTCCCGCGCGGGCGGCAATGTCGCCGCGAGCCGGCGCCCTGCTGGCCCTCCTCAGCGCGGGTCTGGCGCTGACCCTGGCGGCAGCAGGCGGCGCCACCGCGGCCGACCTGACCCCCGCGGGTCACCAGCCCCGCCCCTCGGTACACCCGTCAGCGCCAGGGACGCCAGCCGAGTATGTCGAGGACGCCATTGCGGCGCTGGGACGCGCGCGGACGGATCGGACGCGGGCCTCGGGCCCACCCACCCGACCCCGCCCGTCGAGCGGGGCAGGACTGTTTGCAAGTAAGTGACCAATGGGTGGTGGGCTGAAGGAGGTGTGGCGGCGTGGCCAGCGTGCTTACATTCTCCCGCTCCATTTCTGTACTTGGTTGAAGTTCGCGTTGTAAGGATGGATTAGGGGTTTGTGTGGTCCGTGGTGAAAATTTAGAGGGCTGTTGCACTGAAAAGATATGACATTTCACCTGGAAAATTGACGGAGCTAGGCTTACCTAGACCTGATGGCCAACAGCAAAAATGTTTCTGTCCGGCAGGGCGGAATTCAAGCAATTACAGCTTTGAAAAGCATACAAAACAGCCATGCAGTGCAAACATACGGAGAGCTTGCCGCACAAGCCACGTTATTCAGTGCATCCATAAACCGGATGGACATATCCTAGGTTCAATTGTAAAGATTGATTGGAATGGTAGACTTAAAAGGAAACATCCCAAGGACTTCCGCTCAGGAAAACTAGAAATATCCGCTTCTTTTTTCGCCAAGTCTTATTGTCCCACAAGCCTGACTCAGTCACTGTGTGAACAAGCGATTAATTCACGAGCAAACAAGTGATAACGTGCACAAGTTATAGCGACCACAACGGTGCAAAGAAGCAAACCAGGAGACTGCGACGCGCTATTCCATCGTGTGACTGATGCTACCAGTCACATTGTTCAATGTCCAGTAAGGGTTCAGTGTACGTTTCTTTTCCTGCATCTCCAGTCCATGGAATGTATCAACGTGCCATAGAATCACAAATAATAACGGCTGTAAAGTAAAAACTGTTTTCACGGATTTCGCCTCAGCACGAAGAAACGTTCGAACCTCTTGATTTCACCAAGCGTCTACTGGTTTAGCGATAACCGTAATATTCAATTGTCGAAAAAGCACACAATGCTCATTCATAACTAGTTGTTTGACGAAGCAGCTTGCGGAGACAGACCGGTGTGCCGAGATGGCGTGGAAAATTAAACCTCATCTGACCACGAGAAGTAGCTCAGTCAGCGGCCAGCAGCCATCACGCGATGCCGCACACAGCGGACCCACCGCAGCCGCATAACGGCCACTAGCTGCTGGCACCCGAGGCCGGACACGGAACGTTCCCAGGCGTGTACTACGGCTATCACAGTTAGCCTGGTGTGACGTGATCGGCTCAGGCTGAGTTGCGCTCGTTGGCGTGAAATCACCAATACGCTGAAGCTGGCTCCCGTCACTGCCCAGGGCACTTGCGACTTGACGTATTGTAGCATAATAATTTACACGCTAAACGCTACGAGATGTTTACACGGGAACATTCACCCGTATTCAGCCAAGATATCGAGCTTAACGTCCGCAGTATTTTCTGTTGAGCGTCCTCATACCTTCATAACTAATAGCTATTAAACATGCACACCGCCACCAAGGAAAGTCTTCAGTAAGCAAAACATTGGAGCTGGCCCATGTCAAGTGAATGTCGTACACCTGATGTGAACTGTACGGTGTTTCAAGTCCTACTATACGAATGAATGACTGATATCAAATCGACTTTTTCGCTCCAGAAATATGCATCCCTTTTATTACCGGTTTATTGATTTACACCAAGAATCTCTGCGCATGCGAATCCCGTTAAACAAGTGACGTGCTATATATATATATATATATATATATATATATATATATATATATATATATATATATATATCGCCATCTCGGCACACCGGTCTGTCTCCGCAAGCTGCTTCGTCAAACAACTAGTTACGAATGAGCATTGTGTGCTTTTTCGACAATTGAATATTACGGTTATCGCTATATACATATATATATATATATATATATATATATATATATATATATATATATATACATATCAAACGTGCTGTTCATTTTGCGTGGTTTCAGCAAACCAGTAGCCAACAACTTAGTTACAATGTAGCGAACTATTTATCACCGAAACGAGGCAGGCAAGCTGCGTTATTGACATACGTAACTGGCGTATTTTCTTCAACTTAGATCTAATAAAGAAAAAGCATAGATCAATGTTCACTTCATTACAGGTATCATTATGATACACTGGCGGAGAGCAGCATCACTTACAGTGCAAATCAGTGTAAATGTATCAAATACGACCATCAGCTAACGCCGTTTGCAAAGCCCTTCAGCTATTCCTCATTTCGCACCAGGGAGTGGGCCGAAACCGTGTTTTTCTCTTTTCTTTACCCGCACTAGTGCACCAACCTAGGCCAGCCACGCGGTCGCGACTGGCGCAGCCACCTGCCTTGTTGAGTGTGAAGTAACGGACAGCCACCCCGAGGCGCCCGGGGCCTCGCTGCCGGCACCCAGCGCGCCACCTCGCCCGGGGCCGGCTGCTGGGTCAGACGGCCACGGGATCCGCCCGCGCCATCTGCCCGCGTGCACCGCCGAGCCGGCGCATCCGGCTGATCGTGACCCGGCTGACCTCTCGGCGGCTGTTTTGTCACCCCGCCGGCCGTCTGTTGCCCGCCTGGTATCGAGGTCAGCCATGTGGTCAACCGTCTGTGACGATCAGGCGGTGCCGTGCACACTGCTGGATGACACGCTCAGCGCACCGTCATAATGGGGATGGGAGTACTCATGCATCGCGTGCAAGGTGCTGTTATTCATGCGCCACTTGTGCACAGCGTACTCTGTCGTGTCGCTTGTCCGAAACCTGTTTCGAATATGAAGAGCTATTCGCTGGAAGTTAACACCCAATGGTGTAGCCTGCACTTGACCAATATCAGGTGGAAACTATTTCTGTGTGAAATGATATGGACGGCCAGGCAGAGTTTGGAAAGAGCTGCCAGTTTTCTAAGAATATATCACAGTCGGCCGGACGATGCTACTCAGGCGCGTGATTTACGTGATAAGCCAACATATTGCCAGGCAAACCGACTTCAGTATTTCCATAGAACTGTAGGGGCAGGCCAAAAGCAAAATATTGTGCAACGCCGTATGCGTTCCTGCTCGCTTGCAACAGCTATTATCCTTGGCGGATATTCCCCATCCCGCTCGCCCCCCCCCCCCCGCCGCTCCGTTGGGGGGTGGGGAGGGGCCGTGACGGCGCTGCTAAGTGGGTCAATCCTCTGCGTTCCGGGCCCCTCCCAAGGAGGCCCGGCCCGGCTCGGCCGAGCTGACGTCATCGACGGTGACTCGATCGCCGGTCGTCGAACTCTGGGCCTGATGACGACCTTGCCGCTGAGTCAAGGTATTTCGTTTCTCGCAGTTTTCGGGAGGTGTGGAAGCTCACTGGGGCAAGGCAGAGCAGGCAGTATGTCCGGTCCCTCTCTCCGATCTCTCTCTCTCTCTCTTCCTTTGTCACTAGGATGGTGCTTGCTGAGTTGATGGTCTTGGTTAATAAGCAAGAGAGCGCCTGAGGTAGGCACTTCTTGGTGCTGGGTCAATAGCAAGAATATATATATATATATATATATATATATATATATATATATATATATGTCTATATTGGTGAATGCATGTTTAACTAAAACCGACCGCTGCTTTCGTATTAACAAGCTACTCGATGCATCGTTCAACAATCAAGGCTTTCGATATAGCGGTATCGTTAAGCTTAGGTATTGTTCATACAAAATCACACATTTGTATTCATCGATATCTGTGAATTGGAGCGTTTCGGAACCTCACCTCCTCGTCGAAGGCATACCAGCAATTGCGTATCGTCATCTTGAGGATATCTTTAAGTGCGGAGAAGACAAGAAATCTGTCGTTACTTGGATGCGTATAAAATGCATCCATAACGAAGATACCATAAAGACACATAGCCACAATCACATGTAGAGAAGTTACGGCCCACCACCCCATAACTCAAGACTTGTGCAAGAAAGTGCTTGTTGAGGGCTGGAAAGGGTTCGTTGGCAAACGTACATACCCTAATTTGAAGTCTTCTTTTGCCATTGTACGTCTGAAGAATGTCAGTGTTGTCCGTCAGTTGTGTTAATGTCCTGTCATATTCGTGTCGCACGTGCTCCAGAGGCGCCTCGCCACGGGAGTGCATTGTTAAACGTAGTGAGAGTGTCGTTGTGGCTATGCCAATATAGTGGATGAAATGAAATTTGCAGACTTCGAGATTACAGGCGAATTGTTAAACTGCATTGGTGCATTTAAGCTTGTCGGGCTTATTAGAGCTGTCTGCTTTTAGAAGGTCGGGTCCTGTTGCGATAATACATGATAATGTCTGTTTTGTGGTCGTTCTTGGCTATTACGTTTCGAGAGATCATTTCCTGTGCATGTTGTTCGTCTCGTTTGTAGGCAGATGTCATCTGATTTTGACAATCGAGCTAGACGGTTAGTCATTTGCCTTGTCTTGGTTTGTTGTTAAGGGATCTCGTCGTGTGTCGTTCTGTTTCGTCTCCAACGTCAGAATTTGAATAACCGTTGTTCACGGGGGCCTGCTTTACCCGTGTCAATTCCTAATGTAATCATGATCAATTATAGCAATGCTTAAATATACGTCTAAGTAATGGTCTTACGGCGCTATTTTTTAGCATGAAGGGTAGTCACTGTAAAGAATTAAGCACCGCCAAATGGTAGTCTGTTTTCAGTATACAGGCGATCTAAATTGCTGTCCTTGCCCGGGGACAGTCACGTCAGGAAAGCGTATTACATTCTGCACATTTAATGCCCTTGTGAATTTTAAGCCAGGTCCCTCTTCAAAGGTTTTTAAAACACACTGATTGGTCAGCGTCCCTAACCACACAAATAGACCGCCTACATTACGACAGTAAATGTCCGGTTTTATATCTACTTCCCGCGACGTGTTATGTCTTACCGGACATACCGCTATTTACCGCCACTTATGTCATACCGGCATATCGCCATTTGAAGTATGCCGGCTAATACATGCATACATACGTACGTACCTGCATCAATTGTATACGCGGTCAAGAACGATGGATATGGTTATTTCAATCGGCTCGTTTGTAAAAGGGCTTTCAGCATTTAAAAAGGCTGGAAAAACATCACACTGACAAGATTGCACGCTATCAGTAAATCCAGTCATCGACGAAAAACTATAAGACATGGTAAGACACGGAGACAAACGGCTGTTAAGCCGCTTTGCGATTCTTTAAGTTGGTGACGGAATGTGCAAAATGATTAGACGAAGGGGTTGGCATCTGTGTGATTTTTTCAGACTCATCGGCGTAACGACGCGCAAATTCACTGCTATTTTGGAGGAACTTATGTCATCAACAACGGTATTAGCGGTGGTGATCAGTCTGTTAATTGCAAGTTTGGGAAATCATACATATCAACCAATTCCCCCCAGCCCTATAGAAACAAATTCTTGTACAACTCTTAAATTATTAGGTGTTTGGCGATATTTACTGTGCATGTGATTGTGGCTGTTTTTGTAGCGGTTTCGGTTCGGATACATTTCATATGCATCCAAGTATCGATTGGATTTCTCGTCTCCTTCGTACTAAAAGGTGTTTTTAAGATAGCCATACATGTCTTTCATCCTTAACAGTTAAAAAATGCTACTGTTGCCATCTATCTTTTTCCAATCATGTGATAGGTCTCGAAAGGTTCATACATACAGATGCCGATGAACATGTGAGTGATTTCGAACGAATGGTCTGTCATCTTAACGATAGTTCTTAGCCGAAAGCCCGGAACCCCGAGCGATGCATCCAGAAGCTTGCTAATGCAAAATCAGCGGTCTTTTTTAATAAAACACGCAGAATTAAAATATTCTTCCAGAATATGATTTCATATGTGCATAAAATATTGTAGAGAGAGAGAGAGAGAAAGAGAGAGAGAGAGAGAGAGAGAGAGAGAGAGAGAGAGAGAGAGAGAGAGAGAGAGGGGAGAGAGAGAGAGAGAGAGAGAGAGAGAGAGAGGGGGAGAGAGAGAGAGAGAGATATGTATATATATATATATATATATATATTTCTATATGGTCCGTGCTTCATTCATATATATATATATATATATATATATATATATATATATATATATATATATATATATGAATATATGAATATATCGATGACGAACGGCTCAGCAGCCAAGACGGCTGTGGCGACCATTAAACACCGTGTCTTACAGACGCTCTTGTGCGTGAAGTTTCTGTGAGTTTAAGGGCCGTCGAGTATTTTTTAGGCGTTACGAATCACTAAGCAGTTCCGTTCAGTGAACACGTCACACGATTACGTCGGCAACCGTTGGCTGCGGAACGTAGCGAGCACCTGGGTACACACATGCGCCTCATGATTGTGGGTAGTGGGTAGATTTTTGACGTAGTGAGCAGATTTATCGCATTTCTTACAGCGTGCACGCTTCTTGTCTACTTAAGTCACCTTGGAAATAGCGCCCCCCCCCCTCTAGTGTACGCACCAAGTTAAGCACGGACCATTCCATCATGAACTTTCTTAATGCCGGCTGCTGCCGCTGATGCTTCCTACGCCCAATGGCCTTCTTGGCAATTGCGCAATATCCCGTCCCACTACGATGTGAATATTTTGACCATGCGATCTTGCATACCAGTGATGGCACTAAACAGCGTTACCACTAACCGTCTCATACCGCAGCTTCCCTGTACAATTAAAGCCTTGGATGACACTCATCGACGCCAGATGTTCTTCCAAACTCAAGTCAGGTTGTTAGCCGACGGCTTACGTACCCCTAACCGCTCTCGTCCGTTCCCAGATCTGTTCACGTCGCTGACGCGGCCTACGGAGAGCACCAACTGCCCGGGCCAGTGTTTTCACGCGCTGGCGGCACTCATGTGCGAGAAGATCCTGGAGAACCGCTCCTGCGGCCGGCCCTCCATGCGCTGCTGCGTCGGCCAGGGTCCAGTGCGCCGTAAAGCGACGGTGGCGCCGCCCTCGGCGCTCCCCGAAACACGCAGCACGACCCAAGTTGTAACCACAACCCCAACACAGGTACGTGGTCCCTGCTTTTGACTATGTGGCAGGAAATCGTACTTATATGTCCAGTTGGAACGTCCCTTTGCTCACTCCAAGTCAGGAAATCGCTGTTGCCTGAGGAAAGGTTCTGAATTCGTTACCCAGCGACACTGGCCCAGTCCCAGCCTCAGTCCCAGCGCGGGCTCATTGTTTGGCCCGACTGACGTGAAAAGGCTGGCTGACAAGTGGCTGACAAGGGACACCTCAAGCCCTTGGTAACCGCGCTTCGGCATTGCACGGTGCGCAAAACCCCCTGCAGCCCGGCCAGAAGAAAGGACAGGGAACGTTGTTGAACTAGGGCGTCACAAAGTGGTCAGTGGGTTCAGGATATCAGCAAATGTCTTAGCATAGCAAGGGATCATAGCTTAAAGCTGCCTATGCAAGGTGCTTAGAATAAACTTGCATAAAAATTGTCAGGAACTGCGGACGGCTGAAGCCCAATGCAACCCTCTTAAGAAAGATACGAGGCTTAGTGTCCACCTCTTGGTCCTGCACCTATCGATTGGCTTCTTAGTTTGCAGACCAATCCGCCATTCTTGCAAGTTGAATCAGATATATAGTCATGTTTTGTTTTTTGAACAATGAAACGATACATGACAGGACATAATGGTCATCGCCATTCGTATTAACCATTGCTGCAAATTACATCTGACTTATTTGATAATGGGAGATCTACTCTTTTGGCTTGCGCTCCCGCTTTTCTAAATGCGATCTGGCTTTGCTAGTGTGGTCACATCAACTTTCGCTGAGAAACGGAACTCGTATAAACCACCATCCAGATTTCCGAGCATATCTCCCCAGCCGTTCAGTACATCATAAGGCAAGTTTGGCACTACCTCTCATACCTGCTGTTTTCTGAGGCGATTGATGGTGATCTCGTTCTCAGGCGTATTCACGGCGATATTGTGGAGCATCGCTGTTTTCCGATGCATTCTGAGCTCTCTGTGTGGTCAAGTGATAATCTTTATCGATGCCCATTGTATTTGCAAGGGTCCTTAGAGAGGAACATCACGTCAGGTCAACTCCTGGTTCTAATGTCAAATCATTCCATAAACGGCGCGATGCCACGAGCCATAATGTTTGGCATGTATCAATAACCAGATTGGGGTTGTTAAGGGTCATAGTCGCCTCCGTTGAACCGCTGAAAACCATCCAACATAATATTGGTGCGCATTTTATTGTATTCTAATACCACCACCAAACACGAATATTTTAGGTGTTAGATCGCCTGAGGTCACAGTCATGATAAGCAACTGAACGACACACGGTCTTATATCACTGATTGGGTATAGTTCTCGTAGATATTGCATGCTTTGAAAGAATCCAGCTTTATTCTGCAAAGGTATGCAAAGGGTAATGCGATAGGCTCTTGGCCTAGCTTTACCTGACCCGACATTCTACCCCTTAGAGATAACTCGACGGGCCATGGACGGGTTCAACATAGGCCCCTATGTTCTTCTGGATGATTTCCGAAACCTTCCAGATGGGTCTCTCAAATGCGTCGTACCTGTCATTAAACGAATGTAACAGGTCACGAAAAATATGCAAGATTAGGCCAAGAATCTAGTACGCCATCATCATGGCATTGTACGGCAATCTGTGCTTCCACCAGCATCATTTCAAATTTTGCTTCCTTGCGCCGCATTTTTTCTGGAATACACCAACTGGGGTAAGTGTGTCTGCCACAACCGATTGTACTTAACTAGATCAACCAGGCTAAATATGGAATGAGCTTGGAAATTTAAGCGGAAGTTTTTTGCTGTTAATGTACAGTCAATTCGCCAGCTAAACTGACGCATTTTCAAAACCAAATACTAGTGAACGAAGCTGATAATTATGACGGACTATGCTGTCGCTGGATAATTTTTTCCTTTAGATTTAAATACACTTACATCAAAAACAAGTAGCAAAAACAGTTTCACACCCGCAAATGCTATTTGAGAAATCACGGTCGGCGGCACCGTTTTATTCTATAATAATCGCCTCGGGTTATCGCACACACCAAAGGTCATTTGACTTAGCTGAACAGTGTCGTGATATCCAGCGGACTAGCCGGGCCTTGGCATACATAATCTGAACTTCACCCGACTTCATCTAGCCCTTGATCTTCGGTCTGAGATCTGATTCTTGACCCTTGACCTACGTTAACATCATGCAACTTTTCTGCTGAAACAGAGGCTTTTTTTGGGAAGATGGCAGGGGCAAAAGTCAGATGCAATAGATGATCAGAAACTGTTGAAAACTGCCGGCAATTTTACGGTGATTTTCGTGACCTGCAACAACATAACTAATAGTTCAGAGGTCAACGTTTTCGTGGGACGATTGACCCGACCTATTTATCGCCTTTGTTTGTGATAGAAGAATTAGATCTAGAGATAAAACGGGGTTAAAATATCCTGCATCGGGAAAGGTGGCAAATTTGGGAAAGCTGTTGCCTGTTGACTTATGTACAATGCATCGTCAATCTCTGCCAAAGGCGCCGTCATCAACCACGATTACCACGCCATCAACTACAACTACTCCCACAACCACAACAAGAAGACCCACTACGACGACGAGGCCGACGACGAGGCCGACGACGAGACCGACGCCGCTTCCGACGACTACCACTGTGGCCACAACACAACCTACTACTACGGAACGTATGACAGGTAAGACATGAACGTTTAGGGCTTTTCGCCTGTACCTTTAATTAAAGGTACAGGCGAAAAGAGTTTCAAGCTCTTTTTGTTAGCACTGACAAGCTCCAGAGGGTCTACCAATGGTACTGACCAGACCCAGAGGGCCCAGAAAATGGCTTTGACAATGAGCGGAGCACGATAAAGTGGACCATCGTTTCTCGTTAGCACCTGATCAGTTCATAATTCTTATCTCCGGAAACTATTTTTTTCTCGAATGGCCAAAATTGACCCGAAAAGTGCAATGAACCAAACCCGAATTTGAAACGCACTGCGTGTATTGCTTGAAACAAACCTTGTCACAGCCTGGGTGCCGGCCTTTTGACCGGGCCTGACCACCGCCGGCAGTGCCGTGTCCGGGGGGTGTGTCCTGACCGGGCCTGACCTCCGCCGGCGGCGCTGTGCCCGGGGTGTGTCCTGACCGGGCCTGATCTCGCCGGCGGTGCCGTGTCCGGGGGTGTGTCCTGACCGGGCCTGACCTCCGCCGGCGGCGCTGTGCCCGGGTTGTGTCCTGACCGGGCCTGACCTCGCCGGCAGTGCCGTGCCCGGGGGTGTGCGTGGCCCTGCGGATAGCCAACTACTGCGAGGCGGCGCTGGATGTGCCACGAGCCTGCGCCGACGACCAGCGCTGCTGCGTACCCGGCTCTCTGTTCGACAACCTGCCGTCTCCGCCACCGGAGTTTGTTCGGCTCAAGAAGGCGTCGGTAGCCGGTCAACAGCCACCACAGCAGCAGCAGCGACCAAAGCCACAGGCGCGGCCGCCTCCGCAGACGGGGGTGCCAGCGACGAGACCGACAATGCAGCAGCAGAAACGGCCGGACCAACCGCCAGCCAGGCGGCCGGAGCCACAGCAGCGGCCGCAGGAGACGCGGCCAAAGGCAGAGTCGCCGCCGGCCTCGAGGCCACAGCAGCTGCAGCCCGCCTCGACTCCGACAGCTCAGCAGCAACCAAAGCCGCAGTCGCAACCGGTTCCGATGCAGTCCAATTCAGCGGCACAGAAGCCACAGAAAGGATTGGACGAAGAGAATAAATCGAACATGATGACGGCAGGTCCGTTGTCAGCAGTCCAAGAGGAACAGGGCATCCCTGGCCGACTGTCATGTAAGAACCAGCGGATCGCAGTCCCTTTCTTTGGCTGCACCTGCTAATCCCGATCAATTATTCGGTTCTAAACTACCTGCTGACTCTGGTACTGGAGCGTGATTAGCGAGTGTTGATCTCGGCAACCTTGTTCGCTAAGTGTATACATGCCAATGCCGACACTGCTGTCCGATTGACACCAGCTGATCCCAATATCGTTAGACATAATGTCCGCTGGCCAGTCTAATCAGTACCTGATGACCTCTGTTAGCCGTCTAGTCTCCATGATAATTTATTTGTTAAGGCGAAAATTGGCGGCTGATCGTTTTCGTTTGCGGTAACCGTGCATTGGCACATGTGGCACTTTGTGGGCTTAAAACGCGGCGTTGGCGCGCTTGCGTGAATGAAAGCGTAGGATGAAAGGGTATGCAAAAGTTACGTAGTCCAGTAAAACATCAACCACGCTCAAACTGCTCGGAAACAAAAAGGCACTTCACATTTTTTCGAGTACCATGCCTAGGACGCTTTGGAATCATGTCCTTAATAGAGAAGTTTGAATGTGTACCATCCATCGCTCACGCACCAAATACCACAATGTGGCACCATACCTTCTAGGTCGTGTTTTCTGACCCGGGTGCCGCTGTCGCTGACTGTCGCCATCTGCCCTCTGCTGCTGGTCTCCTCGCGCCGCTCACGTCTCCACGTCGTTCCAGCTCGGCCAGACATCACGATCCCTGTTCGGTCCCAGTGCCGGGGCCAGTGCGTCAACGGGCTCTTCTCCTACCTCTGCGACCGGGTGGACCGGAGCGTGCGCTGCAACAACGGTGGCCGCTGCTGCCTGACGAGCCGGCGGCCGCCGCCCGCCCCTGAGCCGGCCCCCGAGCTCGACCGCAAGCCCGTCTCCCAGACCGGGTTGGAGTCCGGGCCCGAGCACGAGACGGTTGCGGGGGTGGTCCCCGAGACGGTCTCCGAGACTGACGACCTGCCCATCCCCGAGCCCGACCCGGGCCTCCCTCAGGCCGGAGGTGTTACGGCGTCATCGCCTCCCCAGCGGACGCCTGGCGAGCACGCCGGCCTCTATAGCGGAGCGCATGGCCAGCATGGGCAGCCACAAGCCTCGAACGGGCCTCCCAGGCTCGCCAATGAGCCGGACAGGGTCGGAGCCGAGGCGGGCATAGAGGCCGCAGACCCGCAGCAGGAGCCACAACAGCAAGAGACGGCTGTAGACTTTAGCCAGACACCTGGACAGCCGTATGTGCCTGCACCGGCGCCTGCACCTGCCCCCGGTCAGCCTGCTGAGTCCGAACAGACATCCGCACCGAGTCCGGTCCAGCAGGCAGCCGGGGCGGAGCCAGCGCAAGCCTCCGAGCCGTCTGCACAGCCGAGCGGCTGCCCCGGCACCTGCCTGCCCCTGCAGATGGTGGCGCTCTGCAGGTCGCCCGCCCGCCCGCTGCCCGAGGTGCCCGGCTGCCCGAGCGGGCAGCTGTGCTGCGGCGGGCCGTCCGCCAGTCAGCTAGCCAAGGAACCGGCGGTGCACACGGGCGGCACGCCCTCTGGTGGCGCTCTCAGCGCCCTCATCGGCCAGGCGCTGTCCGGTGGCGGCGGCGGCGGCCAGGGCGGCGCCAGCGGCCTGCTCAGCTCACTAGCGCCCCTGGCGGCGACGCTGTTGAGCGGTGGTGGCGGCGGCGGCGGCGGCTCCAACGCGCTGATGCAGGCGGTGTTGCCTGCGCTGCTGGGCGGGGGCGGACAGCGGCCGGCCCGCCCGGCCCGCCCGAGCCGTCCGCCACCCGACCGTGTGGACGTGGAGAGGCGCCCCCCTCCGCCGCCGCAGACAACGGCGGCGCTGGCTCCACCGGCCGACACCAGGCCTCTCTGCCCCGACACCTGCATTGCGAAGCTCCTCTCATTCACCTGCTTTGGTAAGCGGTTCATTGATTTCGCAACAATGTTTGAAAGCATGAATGATGTCCAAAGATCGATATGGCAGTGTTTGATTATTTAGCCCGTCCGGATCTGTTCAAATTCCACTTGACATAGCTGTACGTCCTGTTTCGACCCTCGTCCATGGTTTCAACCACAAATATAGAAACAGACAATCAAAGTTGTTAACAATGCACTAATGCGCTGATTTTGGTCATGCTTCCAGAAAGCTATCTTGAAAATGATCGCCTGGATTTATCATTTCCGATTTGTAACAGGGGAATAACGTGTGTCGCATGAGACCTTAGCCACTGATGTGACTGCTCCTCAGGTGGAGCCGAGCTGACCAACACTTTCCGTTGCGGCGCCAAGTCGGAGCGGTGCTGCGCCAAGAAATCCTCGATCCGCCGACACTGGGAGCGGCGGCAGCCTCCCGCCGGGTACCAGCAGTACCCGGACTATCCGGGCTACCCGGCGCCAGCTGGCACTGATCGGTTCCGGCCGGCGTACCCGCAGTACCCGCAGGCGCAGACCGAGTACCAGCGGTATCCGGCACAGAGTGGCCAGGCGGGTCCCGGCGACGCGCAGTTCGCCGAAGCCAGACCGGATGCCGAGCAGTACCGGCCGCCAGGCCAGCCATCTGGTGGTGATCCGTACAGGCAGCCTGTCCAGCCATCTGGCGGTAACCCGTACAAGCAGCCAGGCCCGCCATCTGGTGGTGATCCGTACAGGCAGCCCGGCCCACCATCGGATGGTGACCCGTACAGGCAGCCCGGCCCGTCATCTGGCGATGACCCGTACAGACAGCCTGTTCAGCCATCTGGCGGCGACCCGTACAGGCAGCCCGGCCCGCCATCTGGCGGTGACCCGTACAGGCAGCCCATCCCGCCATCTAGTGATGGACCGTACCAGCCTTCCACCGCACCATCCAATAACCCGTACCGGCCTTCCAGCGCACCATCCAATGACCCGTACCGTCCCCCCAGTGCACCTATTGCCGAGGAGCAGCACATACCACAGAGCAAGCCGTCTGAAGACGAGGCGTACCAGCCGACCCAGACCGCAAATTACCAGCCAGGTAGCTCCAGCTATGAAGATGAGGAGTACCTACAACCTGGTGCAGCCTATGAGCCTGGTGAGTGTTTTCATAACGGAAGCGATTGTAGTTACACTTTAAAATGCTGAGACTAGATACACCTATATACATGCAGCCTTTTTCATGAAGCTATTCTTCGATTTCGATTGAATGTATGCATGATGTTCGGGTGGCAACAAATTCCTCCTTTATCAAGCATCGTGGCACCTCCCCACGTCCTTCTTCCACCCCACGCATACATGAACCTCCCCCCCGCCCCCACAGAGGCGCCCACCCCCGCCGCCCCCGCCACCGCGCCGCCGCCGCCGCCGCAGCCCCCTGCGCGTAACAAGTACGTGTGCGGCGTGAGGGGGGCGGCGCCGGGCCGCTCCGCGCGCGTGGTCGGCGGCCGGGACGCGGCCCCCGGCGAGTGGTGCTGGCACGTGGCGCTCGTCAACTCGCTGAACCAGTACCTGTGCGGCGGCGCGCTGATCGGCACCCAGTGGGTGCTCACCGCCGCCCACTGCATCACCAAGTGAGAGTGCGCGGAGGGGACGACACAGGGAAGGGTAACAGGACGGGCACGGGAGAGCGAAGGGTAACAGGAGGAGGGAACGGCATGGCAAAGGGTAACAGGATGAGGGGATGGGAGAGCAAAGGGTAACAGGATGAGGGGACGGGAGAGCAAAGGGTAGCGGTATGAGGGTACTGAAGAGCAAAGAGTAACGGGATGAAGGGACGGGAGAGCGAAGGATAACAGGATGAGGGACGGGAAGTGAAGGATGGCAGACGGAGGAGCGGGTGGGCTGTTTCGAGGAGCTGGAGTTCTGGGTTTTAGCGCTTGGCAGGGGATTGCACGTTGATAACGACTATATGGACAAAAACATGCATGGATAACCGACTTTGACCAAGCGATACACTTGTTATCTTTTGTTTTTCACTCGTCAAGCTATTAATCAATAACTGGGCCTTCTTTTCTTTCACATCATATAGTTAGAATGAGTTATATTACATCGAGTGCGAAACCATTTCTGGCTTGGCACATTTATTGCGTACATTTGTCACACATACGCTCGCCCAGTTTACCCATCCGCATTAGTTGACGTGCGCTGTCTGTTGGCTTACCCGGGCACGGCCTTTCAGCATCGTCCGTTCGGGTGACGCCATCTACGTGCGCGTGGGTGACCACGACCTGACCTCGAAGCAGGGCTCGCCGGGCGCGCAGACGCTGCGTGTCTCCACCACCTACATACACCACAACCACAACACGCAGACTCTCGACAACGACATCGCCCTTCTCAAGCTGCACGGCGAGGTGAGCGCCCAGACCGGCGACGATTTGCGTGAGCGTGCTTGGAAAAGCAAGCTCGTATTGGGTTCGCTGACGTTTAAATGTCTCTTGCTTCCGATGTTACTCGAATGTACCGTATTGTGCCTAAGGGCTTAAAAGGAAGCACGAGCATGTTATCCTTTGCTGGTGGGCTCCTCTGGTCTTAGTACTTGCTTCGACGTCCGTACATATGTGCATGCTGTGTAATGGCTTGAGTCCGTACATATGTGCATCCTGTGCAATAACGTGAGTCCGGACATATGCACATCCTGTGCAATGACGTGATTCCGGACACATGTGCATCCTGTGCCATGACGTGGGTTCGGACCCATGTGCACCCCGCGTAACAACATGATATCAGCGCGTTGTCATCGCAACACACACCCCCGTCCGTGGCGTCAGATGCCGCTGGTGTTTGGCGCCTGGCTGGTCTGTTTCCCGTCAGGAGTTCAGCAGCACTCTGCATGTCATCACATCTTTGTGCCATCAGGTGGACCTGACAGAGGGAGTCTGCCTGGTCTGTTTCCCGTCAGGAGTTCAGTGGTACTGCGTTTGGCATCACGTCTCCGTGCCATCAGGTGGACCTGACAGAAGGAGTCTGCCTGGTCTGTTTCCCGTCAGGAGTTCAGCAGTACTGCGTATGTCATCACGTCTCCGTGCCATCAGGTGGACCTGACGGAGGGAGTTTGCCTGGTGTGCCTCCCGGTCAGAGGGGTTGAACAGCAGGCGGGCAGCCGCTGCACCGTCTCTGGATACGGATATATGGGTGAAGGTGAGCAGGGGTACATTTAAGCGTCCGGGACTCCAAATACAGCGGCTTGTGTGTAATGCATGTGAGAAAACTCAGGCAACATCACGTGACATACTAACCAAGTAACCAAGTTTGCAGGTACCAGCGACAGGGGCGGCGCAGCAAAGGGGGGGGGGCTAAGGGGCATTTGCCCCTCGTTTCGGTTGGCAGGGGGCAAGAGTACGCTTTCTCCTAAATAAATTGGGAAACCAGTTTTTCCAAACTAAAGGCATTGTAACTACTCATAGACCACCAGAAATTCAGATCAAGGAGGCCACCATAGCGTAACTAGGGGGCAATCAATCGGGTTCAGAAGACCCGTTTGTAAATCGAGAAGCCCGTTTTCTGGATCATACAGCCACTTTATGTATGCGGTAGTTCATGCTCTAGATCAGACGACACAGTATTGTGTTGGAGAATCCTCTCTGTTGGCTCGGAAGGCTCCGTTATAAACTAGGAGGCTCTGTTCTGGACTCGAAGGCACCCTCTTTATTCAGAAGGCCAATGTCTGGATTAGGAGGCCCCTTTCGTGCATGAGATGGCTGTGGCCCAGAATCAGGATGCCCTGGTGTGAGAGAACCAGGCACCTTGGCTAGATTTGCAGCCCCCTCCGGGAATCGGAAGCATCCTGTTCTGGATCAGGAAGTCCCTCCATCAATCAGGAAACTCTGTTTTAGGTCATTGAGACCCTTTGTTGGGTGATTAGACGGTCGGATTCTGTTTTGTTGTCGTCAACGTCTATTTACCCGGCTGTAATTATCATTTTTACCCGGCTGCGAATATTTGATAAAACAGTTCATGCCTTTGACACACATTTTATTCGAATACTTCATTGCGCAAGAAGCCCCCAGTGAGGAGGACTCTTGAAAGTCGTGCCCCCAACTCAAAATTCCTACACCACATCTGACCACTGGTACGTTTCTTTACACCACTTGGCTGTTGAAGTGATGTAAAACGTAAACAAGTGTTCAGACATGCGGTCACGTTTATGATCGTCAACTAAACAACGCCAATGCTTATAGCATGGTTATCATTGTGCCTGTCTTTCAGTTAGCACACGGAAATGTGTTAGGTGGCACACTTATTTTTATGTGCCGGCATCAGTGTTCATCACGAGGTCTTCCCGCGCTTATTCCACGAGGTCCCGCATTGTGATACGTCCTTCCGTCCCAGAGTCTAGCATCCCCACTGTGACCCGCCCCTGTACACCAGAGGACGCCATCCCACGCTGTGACCCGTCCCTGTCCCGCAGAGGATGTCATCTCCCCCCCCCCCCCTGTGACTCGTCCCTGTCCCGCAGAGGATACCATCTCTCCCCCCCCCCCCTGTGGCCCGTCCCTGTCCCGCAGAGGATGCCATCTCTCCCCCCCCCCTGTGACCCGTCCCTGTCCGCAGAGGATGTCATCTCCCCCCCCCCCCCCCCCTGTGGCCCGTCCCTGTCCCGCAGGTGATGCCATCTCTCCTCCTCCCCTGTGACCCGTCCCCGTCCCGCAGAGGATGCCATCTCCCCCCCCCCTCTGCGACCCGTCCCTGTCCCGCAGAGGATGCCATCCCCCCCCCCCCCTGTGATCCGTCTCTGTCCCCCAGTGCAACATCCCCACCGTGGCCCGTCCCTGTCCTCCAGAGGGCGCCATCTCCCGCTGTGACCGCTCCCTGTCCCTCAGAGGGCGCCATCCCCCTGCGCGTGCGCGCCGCCGAGCTGCCGATCGTCGCCGACGCAGACTGTGTCGGACGGATCAACTCTGTGACGGAGAAGGTGTTCATCCTGCCGTCCTCCAGCTTCTGCGCCGGCGGCGAGCTGGGTCACGACGCCTGCCAGGTCAGTCGTACGGGCGCAGCCAGGGTCTTGGAAGGGGATGAGGTGTGCGGCCTTGTATGTGCGTCAAGGGTTGGTTTTTGGGTGGGACAGACAGCTTTGTAAAAAGACCAATAGTCCGGGGTCACGTGCGACTTCCGTTAAGATGGCTATTCTTTCGCTTTCGTCCTTGTCATTGTAAATCGCGTAGCACGACACCGAATATAGCCCATTGCGGAACACATACTGACTCCGGCATACATGGTGCTGATAACTCGCACCACAAGTTAATCCCACCTTCCTCTCTAAAGTTTCATATATGTCTAGTTAAACCTGTTCCCAAACACACCTCCGTGATAGCACCGGTTTGGCGCCTGTTTTATCTGTCGCACCGAACTTCTCAGCCATATCGTCAGGTAGGTATGCTGCCTCATGCTGAGCTGAATCCATCATAAGTGCTGAAGCTGTGCATCAGAGCTCTGCTTCATCGCCAGGTTTTCCTCCCATGTGATGTCATGTTTTGCTGTGTGTCCACAGGGCGACGGCGGGGGTCCGCTGGTTTGCCCCGTTGACGGCTACTACGAGCTGTCCGGCATCGTCAGTTGGGGTAAGTATTCCAATGTTTTGTATGCTCTCCCAGCAGACGTGTGTCTGATCCCCAGGTTTGATTTCTGGTTGCCAGTGGCTCCTTCGGCAAAATAGTACTATGGATCCTAGTTTCCACTGATTCTCGACAAAAAACACTGGATCCTAGTTTCTGAGGGCTTCTTTGAAAAAGCTTAAGCCTGGATCCTGGTTCTCTCTGGTTCTTTAGCAGACCATGGGCCTGGGTCCTGGTTCTTATTAGTTCTTTTGATAATACTAGACATTGAATACCGGTTGGCACTGATTTGATATGAGCGCAAGACCGTGATTCATCGCCCTCAGCCACAAAGTCATGCTAGTCACACAGGACAACCCTCACATTTTTTCTTCACCTTTATTAAACTCACACGTATGGCAAGTGAAACAGTCAGCATGCCTTGTTACCACCAATGCAACTAACAAAGCTTAACAGCTAGTTATTAATCATTTCCCTACAGCTTAAGAGTGAGCGTCTGACAGCTTTTGAGGCCTCTGCACATTTGCAGTCTCGTCAGGGTACCATGTTGGCTATTCTATACCACCCCAGTAAAATAACGTAGTTGTGATGTTTTCACTTTACCTCACCGCGTTAACTAATCTCGCGGTAGAAGCAATAGGCCTCTGTATCTGTGGAGGACAGCACAGGGCGGCTAAACAGTAGAGAGGATGGGTAACACGTGGGCCTGGACGAGGAGATTAGTGGCATTTGAGGTGAAGTCTTGGCGAAGTTTGCAGAGAGACAAAGGGATAGCGTTACATTTGCGGGCCACCACGAATATGTAAGACTTCCAAGTAAATGGCTATACTTAGTACCTGCGCGAGGGAGCGCGGTGAGATGCCTGAGCCTGACAAAGTGACGAAGATATCGGACGTGTGGTTGGGAGAAAACTTTGCGCCAAGCAATGGTGGATAAATTTATTTGTGCTGCTTAAGGTTTGTGCACATTCATAATGAGCGGTAGACCTCATGCTCCAGGGTTGATTCGCTTTAGCAGGTTTCTGATAAAGTCGCCCATGGCCACGAGTGATTTACCTGTGGAGGCTGTATGCCTGAGCCGTCGCTCCACTGCCTGGAGCGCTCTGGATGTAGTCGTGACCGAGGTCTGCAGATGACCCCACCGTCACAGCTCTGCGACCTGCACCACCTGTGGGGATCCGTAGCGACTCCAGGGTGGGAGATCTAGTCCCCGATCTCGAGTTTTGCCGTACGGAGTCCGTCTCCCGTTAAGGCTATGACGCCTCCCCCGCGTCTTGGCGCAGGTGCAGCGCTGGATCGCGCAATCGCATCGGGTAATATTGTATACAGAGTACTCGGTTCAGGATATGTGGCACCAGCCACGCCTTTGAAATTGGCAAAACGTCTGCTTTGCATTGATCCAGTAAAACATCGATGTCACTGATCCACGGCATCAGGTTTCAAAGTCGAGAAAGCAGGCTTTCCTGTGCGAGTTGGACACTCCTAATATGCGCACATTCGCGATTATTTTTTGACGTAAAAGAAAAGAAGTAGCCAAGCCATCAATGTGGCTGCCGTTGTAAATGCCAAAGCATTCAATGCCGGTCGAACGGCAGATGCATGGTGGGGATGAGACTACCATTTTGAGCAACAGATGAACCGTTGTGGAAATTCGACTCTAATGACTGATCCCCTGTCAATAGCTAACCAAACCTGGAAAAAATGAAACAGTGTACGACGGGAGTGCAAGGCAGACCAGAACATGAGGAGCGCAGTAGAGCAAATGAGGGACAGGTAGTATGTGGCGAGGTGATTGAACATCTGACCAAAAGAGGCGCCGAGAAGCGCCCAGAAGCATTGCTTGAGATGCAGTATTATTCACAGTCCAGCAACGGTTACTTATAGATTCGTATTCACGGGTTTTGATTTTGCCTCAGTTGTTTGAGCGGCCAGCTGGCCCGTCCATCTAGCTGGCCGGTCTATGTGAAATGTAGAGCAATGTGTGCTTGACACAATCAGCTATTCACCCTGGCATGTAGTGATTCGGAATAAGACCGAGTGCGCATCCTCGCCGAGCAGGAAGTGAGGCATTGTTCCCAAGGTGACTTCCTGAGTCCACAGAACAATAGCACTTAACATCACCGTGAGAGTTGATGGTGCTTATGATACAAACATTCGTTATGCTTTTCCAAAGAATGAAGCGCAGGCCATGTCAAGTCACTGCACTATGACGTCATTATGTCGGCCTACAGGCCACTGGTTACAGGCATGCCTTTTTATGTTGGTCAGTGACGACGAGTCATACCTCTAGGCACGAAATTGCTACGCAGTGACAGTTCCAAAGCTCAGAAGCCACTCTGAATGCGCTAACGAGCTTGTCAATGTCAAAGGAGTTAATTGGGTTTTGATAACTACTGTTTTCGGCCTAAGAGAGGTCGAGCACCACCATTTGACAATGAACATGATTCAGAACATGACGTCTCGGATATCTTAGCCGAGAAAAGCCGTTGTTTGGCCCCCAAATTGTGTTTTTTTCATTTTTGTTTCCGGGAATTAAAGTTGACCTGAGATGGGAGATTGCTACCGTTAGTTGAGAGGTTCGGGTCTGACTTCGTTAGATCTTAGATGCGACATTATCCAAGTGTTTTTGTTGTTTTTGTTCTGACCCAGTCATGGGCTAGATGACAGGGCACGGTGTACGGCGTTCAAACTTTCATCTGGAGCGCGGTTGGAGATGCCATCCGAACAGGAGAAAAATTGCAGGAAAATCTGGATAAGCAAGAGACTGCTATTGACCAGTTCGCTGTGCATTACTATCATCATTCATTTCTCTCCCTATCTTACGTCTTTCATGTCATCCGTCACCTGCCATTTGCTGTTGGGCGGGTGTTAACTAAGCCTTCGCCAACATTTTGTTTTCAAACCTATACCAGGATAGCTAAGCCCGAGAACTTCCAAACGGCTCCAGATGAGGTCTCTTTCGCACGCTAAGGCATCGCTGGGCCGGTTTACTGCACGTTTTCTGCGTCACAAGTGGGACGTGGCGGGCTGAGTTAACCAGAGTGGGTTTCTGAACACATCACCGCCGGATGGAGGCCGGATGTTGACACGGTCACAAGTGGGACGTGGCGGGCTGAGTTAACCAAAGTGGGTTTATGAACACATCACCGTCGGACAAAGGTCGGATGTTGACACGGTCACAAGTGGGACGTAGCGGACTGAGCTAACCTGAGTGGATTTCTGAACGCGTCACCGTCTGACGAATGTCAGACGCTTATGTGACATCCCGTCTTCCTGCAGGCTTCGGCTGCGGCCGCGAGAACGTCCCTGGCGTATACGTCAAGGTGGCCTCCTTCATCGGCTGGATCAACCAGATCATCAGCGTGAACAGCGTGCGGTAGTCAGCGCTCGCGGCGCTGTGCCGACCGTGGTGGAGCCGGACGCCGCCACTGAGAGGCGCGCGCGATGACATGTGACGTCAGAAGTTCGTCGGTCGTGACAACGCAGTCAGCTGGCCATGAGGGGAAGTGGTCTCCACGGGGCGGCGGAGTGCGAACGTTCATAACCTAGAGGCATTTGTTGTGAAGCGGTCTCACTTGTTGGTGGTGCACGGCTATCTGGCACGAGAGAGGCGACAATGACACTTTGCACAGCCTTACTGCACGGCGGACACGAGCAGAAGTTTTAACTCCTCTTTCCAGTGGTCCATCGATGTGTACTCATCAAACAGTTGACGTCGTTTTGGTGCATTTACTTATCCTTGTTTGAGTTGTGGATGTAAAACATGTTTTAAATGTTCGACGCCGCAAGCAAAGGTTGCAGCGGGTGTAAATGCTCAATATCCATATCAAAGCCAGTATAGTTTGGCCTATTGTGGCTGCACTGATGAATGTAAGCTCTATTGAGGTTGCTAAGGGAGTTTTATTTAGATCTGGCCTATGGGTGTTCTGTCAGCTATATGTGTTAGTCCATATCGCAGGCGCATCAGCTGTTTTGAGTGGTGATCTGCATTGTTGTTAGTTTTCCGCATTTCTGGCGTACTGCGTTATTTATTTTGTCACCAAAACAACGTTGCGTGTTACGGAGAGGTTGCTTCAAGTTTTTGGTGGACACCCATGATTTTCGTTTCTATACCCTGCCTGTAAACTGGCATATCCATCACTGTTCATCTTTTCACGGCTGTACATTTTTGTTTACAAATAAAAGCAGGCTATCGGTGGTTTTCGTTGTCCAAACATCTGTAGTTACCTGCTGCTCAAACAGTGTGATGTCTTGTGTTTCGGGTTATGTATTGCAGGAGACGTATATATATATATACATATATATATTATATAATAATATATATATAATACGTATATATATATATATATTCTCTCTCTCTCTCTCCCTTCTCTCTCTCTCCTCTCTCTTCTCTCTCTCTCTCCCTCTCTCTCTCGCTTCCCTCTCTCTCTCTCTCTCTTCTTCTCTCTCTCTCTCTCTCCTGCTCTATCTCTCTCTCTATTCTCTCTCTCTCTCTCTCTATCTCTCTCTCTCTTCTCTCTACAGTTGTGACCGATAGACCTTTGGCCCAACGTTATTGTTCCCCCCTATTTGGAATCGTCTTTCCACCCATTATCCCATCACGTAGTGACCTTCATGGGTTACCGGGTTCTCTGCTGGTTACCTCTGAGGCTAATAACCCCATCTGGAGTGGAAAGTATTGTTTAGCATAACCTCACTTGTAGGTGTTATGACTCCGTTTCAAGAGGTTTGATGTAGCTTATGCAAGTTCCAGACCAAAAGCATGTTGCTAGATTCTCGTATCTCCAGCATAAAGCATCTACGAACCGCGGCGCCTGCACGGATCTGGCATCAGAAGCAGGCTTCCTGAACAGCGGGAATATATATATATATATATATATATATATATATATATATATTATATATATACAGGCTTCCTGAGCAGCGGGAATATATATATATATATATATATATATATATATATATATATATATATTTATTCCTGCTGTTCAGGAAGCCCGCTTCTGATGCCAGATCCGTGCAGGCGCCGCGGTTCGTAGATGCTTTATGCTGGAGATACGAGAATCTAGCAACGTGCTTTTGGTCTGGAACTTGCATAAGCTACATCAAACCTCTTGAAACGGAATCATAACACCTACATGTGAGCTTATGCTAAAAAATACCTTCCAATCCAGATGGGGTTATTAGCCTCAGAGGTAACCTGCAGAGAACCCGGTAATCCATGAAGGTCACTACGTGATGGGATAATAGGTGGAAAGACGATTCCAAAATTAGGGGGGGGGAACAATACGTTGGGCCAAAGGTCTATCGGTACAACTGTAGGAGAGAAGAGAGAGAGAGAGAGAGAGAGAGAGAGAGAGAGAGAGGAGAGAGAGAGAGAGAGAGAGAGAGGAGAGAGAGAGAGAGAGAGGAGAGGAGAGAGAGGAGAGAGACGAGAGGAGAGAGAGAGAGAGAGAGAGAGAGATGAGAGACGAGAGCGATGAGAGAGATGAGGAGAGAGAGAGAGAGAGAGGAGAGAGAGAGAGAGAGAGAGAGAGAGAGAGGGAGAGGAGACCGATTTCTCTACTACGAGCGGAGAGAAAAGGAGCATGTAGATCTATGCTCAAAAAAACCTGAGAGGCAGATCATGCCAATTTGATGTCAAATGCCATTTTGTACTTCAAATGTTTTTATTTGGCATCAATCCATTCGGAATTAATTTATCTGCAAATTATCTGAGAACTAAACAATGCGGATGCAATGTACAAAGCGGCCTACCCAAGCCTGATTGCAAAATCAAAGCTGCTGCATCGTAAATTTCTCATTTTTAATACTCTTATTTGACCGATTTCCGGAATCCACGCCAAATCTATGAACTGATTGTTGCGTCAGCCACCCAATCGAGAAATACAAGATCATTGGAAAAGTTGAGCGGCGAAAGCCTGGCGCGCCGCAATGCCCGCAGTGCCCGCAACGCTCGTATTGCCCACTGAGTCACGTGACTTAGTGCGGCCGCTGCCGCCGGCCGCCCGCCACCAGCCACCTGCCGCAAAACATCCCAGTCAGTGGCAATAAATCATCACGCGCAGCATTGCTTTAAACATTTGTTTTGCTGCAAATGTGCGCAACTTATGTTTCTTGCTGCATAAGTTCATGCTTAGTTTGTTTACGCTGCAGCTTCATGGTGGTTCGAGTTTAACGCATGCCGCGGTGGACACACCACTTGACGACGGAAAGTCACAGCAAAATAGAACAGAGTGATGGGTGATGCAAACTTACGAAACAGCATCAAATAGGCCTGCTTCAACCCAAGCTTGCATGGCATAACATTTGAATTCACAAGGGACAGGTTCCCGGCATATCTCCCGAACAAATCCATCGATTTATCTGCTCTAAGCGACAGGAGATACCCCTGGATCGCACGTCCCCTGCATATACAAGCGCGTCCAGCTGAAAGTCATTGCTGACCTCCAACAGGTATAGAGCACGATTCTTGGGAAATTGTTGTAACGTGCGCATCGGCCGGTATTCAGCACAGTGATCCAGCGAAATTGAAATGAAAGAGATGAGCATGCAAATCCATCAGGCAAGTACTCAGTTGTGATGCAAACATGAGTACGCTTGCTGCGTACAAAACTCAGTTTGTTGGATCATGCCCGGTGCCGTCTCTGGTCAGGTGTTATCGAATAATTCGGCCTTTCTTTTAAGTCCATGCCACCTAAATTGGGAACTGGTGCGTAACATGCAATGTACAGAGATGCACACTACATGTACCTCAAGCCCAGACAACTATCTCCAAACGCTTATCATGCTCCAACGGCCTGCTTGCTCAATAGACGATAAGGTAGAGTTACAGTTTCGGTGAGAACAGATATTCGATGAGTCTGTTTTAGCGAACCCTGGACAATTGATGGGACGCTGTTGGGTGCACTCCGCACTCTAAGATGAAAAGATGCTTCTCTTTGCAGCACATTGGCGTGGACTCTGCTTGAATCAGGGGCACGGACAGTATCAAATCGTCATTCGCGGACATAGGCACGTTTTAAAAAGAACAAACAATACAGCGCTTCGTTGTGTGATGTCATATCGACGTGGCCTACCACGACCTAGGTTTGAACTGGCCTACCATGAGGTAATGACAGCCGCTGTGAGGCACTAAAACATTGAAGTTCCAACTGAGTATGTCCGAACGCCATCCGGGAACTCGACGCCCGGTACGAGAACTCGATCACATTATCGTGTAACCCATAATGACCTAAACTATGAACTGGTTATTGTTAGAGGATGTCACATATAAACATTACAAGCAGATGTGGGCCCGAAAAATGACCAGGGATACAAAACAAGGTTGGAAATGAAATAATCTGCGCTGCTAGGGATGCAACTAAGGAATCTAGATGAATGAACGCAAAAAAAAGATTAGCTGCGGTCTCAAAGTCGCACGCACACAAGACATTATACATTGTACGTGACACGGGCAAGGAAGAAGACACAAACACACATTCAGACATGGACGAAGACACGAATATAGCTACCAAACACCGAATGAGTGCAGAAAACACGGGTACATGCACGGATGCGATTCCAGAAACAAGGAAGCGCACAGAAACGGATGCCAACACTCACGTATGTACAGGCACAGGCGCATACACGGATTCAAGCAGATTCAAACAGACACAGATACGGAGCAAAGTCAGCAGCGTACACAGATCCAAAGACCGATGAAGAAGTGGCCGCTGAATCGGACCAAGACACGGGCTCAGATACGGGGACTGACACTGACACGCACGCAACCAGAAGCGCAGACCCAAACGCGTGCACAGGCGCAGACACGCGAGCGGCATCACGAACGCAAAAACAGACCCAAACACGGACGCAGGCACGGACAAAAGACAAACGCAAGCGTAGAATCAACTGCGGACGGTGCCACGGATGCAGACAGCCTCAACCACAGACGCAAACACAAGCACAACCACAGACACGCACATACACGGACGCAAACACGGACACAGACACGGACGCAGGCACAGACAGCTGACACAGACACCGGCACTGATGCGAACACGAACGCAGACACAAACGCAAACACGGACACTGGCACGGACGCAAACGCGAACGCAAACACGGACGCAAACACGGACGTAGACACGGACGCAGACACAAACGCAAACACGGACGCAGACACGGACGCGAACACGGACGCAAACACGGACGCAAACACGGACGCAGACACAAACGCAAACACGGACGCAGACACGGACGCAAACACGGACACAGACACGGACGCTGGCACGGAAGGGGCGCGGCATCGGCGACCAGTCCACACCTGAGGTGGCGGCGGCGCTCAGTGAAAGGGAGAGCGTCCAACCTGCGAGCTTCAGTTGTGCCGGCCGGACCACGCCACGCGCTGCCGGGCCGCGCTCCGCTCTAGACCTCACTTGGCCCGGCTGCCAGCAGTGGCGGAGACGGCGGCGGGCGGGGCAGGCCGACCGTGTCACCGACGGAGAGCGACGGCGGCCGGCTGCGACCGCGGCGGAGGCCTCGGCCCTCGAGCGTGACGCCCCGCCGGCGGGGACGGCGGCGACTCGCGTCACTAACGTGACTGACGGACGGCCGTGACGGAGGCGAGGCCCGGTGGTGCCGGCCGCGGGTCATCGGTCGGGTGGCCGAGGTCAAAGGTCACCGCCTCACACGGATTACCGGAGGAATCCCGGAGACCAGCAGCGATAGAGGACGTCCCGTCCGTCATCACTCACGGGGTCAGCAGGTGAGCATGTCCGCTGTTGCAGAGGAGCGGCGGGAAGTGTGCCATCGGGTGCAACACCCCACAGCGCAACGTTCGTTCCCATGTAACGAGCGATTGGTGTATTGGTGTTGGTCTCCCGGTGCTTGTTGTGGTGATTATGAAAACTGAACGGTGAAAACGGGTTCGAGAGCACGGTGCCATATAGAAAGCGATGTGATGGTGCGGTCTTGAGGTTTGGTACCAGAGACGGACTCGGCACAAGCGGATTTATTGTGCGGTCCATGGATGTAATAACATCGAAATTCTGGACTGTGTGCAACCATAGTACTTAAAACTTTCGCCACTGATGTTTGCCCTGCCGGCTGCTAGTGCAAGATTACGACATAGGCGCCCAACAGCATTAAATGTGTACGGCCGTCTTTCCGCTTTCTGCGATTGCAAAACTTGTGCTGGTGTTAACAAAGACAGCGTATCTTTTAAATTATGCATTCAGTGGCTTGTTTAAGCCTGGAAGTCTAGAAGAGCGTTGAAACCTTTGCAGCTTTTTCCAATGATATGAAGAAAGCACCTGTCACAAATGCCCAGATCATGCAAATTGCGTGGACTGTTTGCTCTGTGTCAAGCTGCATACTGAACATTGCCTTGCATTCAAACGTATTATTTAACACGCTTATGAAGAGTGAAACTCTTCCTGCCAGCTGGACCCTCACAGTTAAAATTCCAACTGTTTGAAATGATTGACACCGTTTCCACTCAAACAATAATGTCTCTGGAATAAATTTTTTAGCAGACTGCAACAGGAAAACTGTTCTGCGATCACGGCACCTTCACCCGGATCACATGACCGACAGGCTGTTATTATATGCCATAAAAAGCCCACCAACAAAAACAGAACGCTCCAAAAAGTATAGTTCAAATGGTGTTCCGCACCACGCCAATTTGTGCGCCCAACGCAATGCAAATACTTATCGCGATCTTTTCGACGCGTCCTGAATTTAAGATTCAAGAGAGCGCTGTGATATGCAATGTGCAGAACAGTGAAAGTTGCCCTAGCAGTCCACTCCCATGGCAGAGACAATACAAGTATGTGCGGTTTGAGCTAAAAAAAAACTCTCGTTGGTCACGCGAAAAAGCTGATATTATATATTAAGAAAGAGTACGGTTATCACAGGCATGATTGCTTTAACCGTGTAGATAATACCAGAAGATAACTGTATGCAGCCCGCCACCGT